TGTGGTATGCTATGGCCTATGGATCAAAATCTCATGAGCATCCCTTTTTTGTCGGCTATGTGTTGCTGGTCAGGTCCCACATAGTAGGGAGCTACACTTGCTGGATTCATCTTTGTTGGAGGCATCTAATCGATTTTTTAGCATTTCTTAAGTTTGTGTCGTTTGCAAAGATTTCTCGACTTGTTTTTTTCCCGGTGCTCTTAGTTACATGTTTTAATCCTATTTTGTTTAGATTGAAAATTAAAAAAAAAAAATTAGTAAGGGTAATGTTCGGGTCATGGCTGAGTTGGCCCTGCGAGATACGTGGCCGCCCAACTATTGCCCTGTCACGTCATTCTAATTCGGCTGGGTCGGCATAGATCAGCCACATCGGACTAGCTCGACCAAGCTACACTATTAATATGGAACCCCATCTTATCCTTTCAGCCACGTCAACTACACGTCATATGGATGAGCACAACTACGGGTAAAGAGGAGTAAGGAAGACGACTCCACTGGGGAATGAAACTCTATACCTCGGCGGCTAACTTCATCCTGACAACCCCGGAAGCCTAGTCCGAGCAGGACACGGATTTTCGGCTATAAAAAGGTACTCCATGCTCGAGGTAAGGGATCCAACTTCTAAGACCTACACCGCTACTTAGCTCGGACTGGCATCCTTATAACTTGACCCGACTACCCTATCACCCCCTACTGACTTAAGCGTCAGAGTTCTTACCCGAGGATAACTCCTCGGAACTCTGACTTTTGTTTCCTTAACCATAGGTCTTGAAGTACGGCCTCGTCCTTGTAGCTCGGCCCTATCCTGCCAACAAGGACTATCTGACTGCCCTCCTCGATTTGTGCACCACCTCGAATTAAGCAGTCTCGGGTAAAATATGTCATTTGAATGATTCCATTAGTCGAAAGTCTGACAGGGGTGGTTTTATATCAGAAAATTGAAGGGTGGTTTAAATCTTTTACCCTATGAATTAATGTACGCACGACAAGGCTAGCTTCGCTCCGACAACATTCAAATGGACAAAATTAGTGGAACCCTCATTTCCCACCTCAATGATAGATGCTTGGTTCATCTGCAGCGGCATATTTGTGAGGTGTAAATATGCTTTCTTTTCTGACAGCTTTCATTTCTCTACTTTTTCTTTCAAGCCAAATATAGCCTTTATGAAAAGGGTTCAGATGTAGTAGGCACGTTAGGTAAGCACAATGAGTGAGTACCTAATAGTTATGTGACACCTGTTCTAGCTAATGCACGTTTCATCCAAACATTTTTGCTCTGTTAGACAGGAATTATCTATTATTTTATAATCTTTGTCAAAATAATTAAAAATAAAAACAATAAAAAAGAAACACTTAAATGTGTTGGGAGTTGGAACTCATTGGACTCTCTCCTGCCATTTAGGATTCTCCCACCTCTGGACCTTCAACTACTGGTTGAAAGCATCAATTTAACAAAAAGAAAGTAAATTATAATAATAAGAAATAGATATAATATAGGTTACTATGGGAATGTTTTTTCTTAAACATTTGTTTGAAAATTATAAATTAAAGTACACAATTTAATAAGTTTGATATAAAGTAAAAATTGGTTTTATCTTTATATCAGATACATTGAGGAAGAATGGCAAGTTAGAGAATTCAGTCTAGGCATAAGAAATATTCTCTAAAATTGCAACTTGTAATGTTTTATTATATATTAATTCTCTAAAATTAGAGCATTCACAAAAAATAAAAAGCTTTTAAGTAAATTACTAGTTTTTGCAAGAAATTGTCTATTTTAGGATACTTTATAATTAGCATAGATGAATTTTAATGCCTATGGTATTTGTCTCGTCGTTTTTGTTTATTAAGAAAGACATAAACTATTATAGTTTTGACAAGAAAAGATATAATTAATTCTGACAAAAAAGACATAATTACTTTTAAAAAAGGGTGAATCAATTTTTTAGGAATATGCATAAACTATTCTAACAAATTGATAGAGTTAACACATGTGTTTTTGACTTACAAATTTACAATAATCAGGGTAGTTTTCTTGCCCTTTTGCATGATAAAAAGCAACGCTCGTAGCAGAAGTTCAGAACCCTCTTTATAATTGCAAACACAACGAATGAGGAAGAAGATGGCTAGGAAAAGCTATGGTATGAGAGAACTCGGTTGTAGTTGTTGAAGGTTGGAATCAGAGAGAGAAACCTAAATGGCAGAAGGTTGGAGAGAGTCCAATGAGTTCCAACTCCCAACAAGTTTAGGTCTTCCTTTTTCATTGTTTTTTATTTTTAATCAAGTTGAGTGCCTGCCCCAACCAACCATTTGCAGTGGCTGAAGGTCCAGAGGTGAGAGAATCCTAAACCGCAGATGGTTGGAGAGAGTCCAATGAGTTCCAACTCCTAACACGTTTAGGTGTTCATTTTTTATTGTTTTTTATTTTTAATTATTTTGACAAAGATAATAAAATAATAGATAATTCCTATCTAATGGAGCAAAAACGTTTGGATGAAAAGCATATTAGCTGGAACAGGTGTCACACAACTAGACCTATTCATGGGTCGGGCCGGGCTTTTGCTCTTCATTAACAAGATTTTTTTTTGCCCGAGCCCAAGCCCGACCCGACCAATGGGCCTACAACTTGGGCTCGAGCCCGACCCTCATAAAAAGCCCGAAGCCCGACTTAACAGAGGCTGAAATGCAGGGCGACTGAGTTCACTGGTGGTGCAGCTAGCACCGGTGCCTGATTTCGCCATCGCCAATGCTTGAGTTCGCCATCGCCAATGCTTGAGTTCGCCATCGCTGATGCTTGAGTTCATTGGTTCCTGAGAATATGCAACAATGCATGAGAATGAGAACTGCGAGAGAGACAAGAGAGAGAGGAATGGTAGAGAGAGAGGGAAGATTCACCGCCAGAGAAAGGGGCGACTGAGTTCACTAGTGGCGCGGTTGATGCCAGTGCTTGAGTTCGCCGGTTCTTGAATCCTGAGAATATGCGAGTGCGTGCAAGTGAGAACTGAGAGAGAGAGAGAGAGAGAGAGAGAGAGAGAGAGAGAGAGAGACGACTGGTGCTTGAGTCTGCCGGTGCCTGAGCTTGCCTGCCACCTCTAAGACTGAGAATAGTGGCTGCTTGCTTGGATTCACGCCGGTTATTGAGAGTGAGAATGAGGAGAGAAAGATAAAAGATGAAAAGAGGGAATAGGAAAGGTTAATCGGCTAGGGTTTACAATAAAATACAAAATATCGGGTCGGGCCGGGCTCGGGCTTTAGGCCCGAGGTCAAGCCTTTGGGCTAAAGTTCATGCGCAAGCCCGTCCGAGGGTCGGGCCATGCTGGGCTGGCCCGTCGAGCTACCTGACCCATGAACAGGTCTACACATAGCTATTAGATGCTCAATCATCGAGCTTACCTAACGTGTGCCTACTACATCCGGACCCTAATGAAAAAGGCAAATAAGGACAAAGTGAGATAACTGACATGTCATGTCGAGAAAACTACCAAATAGAAAGGTTGTTTGGGAAAGTTTCCCATTAAATGTCATTCAACATTCAAATATTTTCAAAAGTACAAGGGGACATGTATAGAGGTGTAAATCGGATTGTACTGCCTACGGCCTGCATGACAAACTACGGGCCATGCTAGGCATGACCCGATCATATGGGCCATGTCTAGCCTGGGGTTTTAGGTCCATGGGCTGGTACGACACGATACAATTGAGCGGGCCGTGCCAGCCCAACACGACCCATATATTTATACTTATATACTATATATAATATACTATATGTATATATCTTATATTATATAATTTATTAATATATATAATTTTATTATATTATTTCATTTTATCATTTCATATATAAACAATTGTATACACAAAAGTTCATATAAAATAAAATTTTAAGATTTTTTTTTTTATTTTTGCCTATTTTTTAATTTATGTTAAAATTTTCATTATTTTTTTTCAAAATTTTTAAAAAACATGGCTTGTCCTGGTCCACAGCCCTTGACACATGGACCAGCCTGACCCGTGGCATGGCACGGGCCATGGGCCATGCCGAGCTAACCCCCAAAATATCCCAAGGAAAGAAAGCATGGGCTGACTCAGCCCGCGACACGGCACGGCCTGCAGTTTACACGAACAGCATGCAGGCCGTGACATATTGGACCAGCACGGCCAGATTTACAGCTCTAATCCTGCAAATGTAACTTTAAACCCCAAATTACGGTTTAGCTAGTTCTGAAATTTTTTTTGTCGATTAATACAAAATGTTAATAAGATATATGAGAATCACTTCACCTAAAAAAATTATATACAGGGACCATCATCGACGTTTTAAATCAAAACAGCAATTTGTATTGATAAAACAAAAAATGTTTAATGTAAAAACAAAATTCTCTCACAAATTTGTTGATGAAACCAAAATGTTTAAGGGTAAAGACAAAACCTATATTACAGTGATCTATCGATATCTGTCAGTTGATGATGATGTATAAAATTAACATGGTATACACAGATAGAAAACCAAGATGATCCCAGCTAAAAAGCTAATACTCTATGGTGTTATTTGGAACACATGCCACAAAAACAAAAATTCTAGAATTCAACTGAACGTGGGTATTCTAGTGGTATACAAACGCAGTAATCCACCTCAACTTGTTCTCTCTCTTCCATTTTTCCTTTTTTTTTAAAAAAAAAAATTAAAAAAATAAAGAAAAGCAAACATAAGACTACCCGAATTCACTCAATTTTTTTTTAAATCCCAAATCAACTTTAGTTTCCTTTTTATTAGGAAATTAAATGTAATCACTCTGGATAGAGAAAATGAGTTTCCGTTTGAAAACCAGCCCGACGATGGCACGAGTCTCTTCTAGTAGTAGAATTATAAATAGGAGGTGAGACTGTTTGCTCTCTGCACTCTCACAAACAAGTAGGAGAGGGTAGGAGCCCAATTAAGGAAGAAAAATCCCCCAAGTGCCTACAAACTTATTCCAAGTCTGAAATAATTAATAGTCCAAATGGGTAGAAGTCCATGTTGTGTGAAAGAAGGCTTGAATAGGGGAGCATGGACGGTTTACGAGGATCAGATTCTCATTGACTACATCACCACTCATGGAGACGGGAAGTGGAAAGAACTTCCTAAAAAAGCAGGTAAGCCGTAAGCCAACTGTTCTCTCCATGTATAACTTCTTTTCTGCTGCTGCTTTTATGGTTACAATATTTCAATTTTCATTGTGGGTGCGTTATATAATAATTGTAGGATTGAATCGATGCGGGAAGAGTTGCAGGCTCCGATGGTTGAATTATCTGAGGCCAGGTATCAAGAGAGGAAACATTTCCGCAGAAGAAGAGGAGCTTATCATGAGACTTCATAGACTTCTGGGTAACAGGTACATGATTTGCTCTTCCCCCGTTAACCAATGCTAGTTGGACTGAAGTGAAAGCCCCAAATAGAGAAGCTGAATGAAACCTATAGATTCTTAGTAAAAGCTAGTTAGTCCATCAAAATTCCCCTCAACACTGAGACCAATCTCCTGAAAATTGAAACCCCAGTTGTTCTAATTTGGTGGTTTGAATTGATGATGAACACTGAGAAAGGAATTGATGTGGTGCATGCATGCAGATGGTCGCTTATAGCAGGAAGACTACCGGGGCGAACGGACAATGAAATAAAGAACTACTGGAACACCAGCCTAAGCAAGAAGTTGCGAGCAGGTGATCAGACACCAGAAAAGCAAGTAGTTATTAACAAATCCAAAGGCAAGAAGATGGTGGAAGCAGCTGGGAATTCCGCCTTAAGCACGTTGTCCTCCAAAGTCAGCCAAGAACCACCGCGTGTGATCCGAACCAAAGCTGTGAGATGCACCAGAGTCTTCTTTCCACCGCAACAAGGGAGTGAGTGTCATCATGTTGATGAGACGATGATCAATAAAAGGGAGGAACCTGCATTAGCTTCTTCTTCTTCGGGTTTCAACTGTACTCCGTCGACGTTGTCGTCAATAATCCAAGCAGACGGTGACTATTCGAATTTTCTGACAGACTTGGACATTGGCGAACTACTTTCTATGCCGGATTTCTTGCAATTCTGTAGTGAGGGGATTGATCATCAGGAAAATGACAATGTGATCATGGATGGAGAAGATTTGCCTTGGTTTTCAGATTATCCCTTCTCTGCCCCTTATGAGATAATGCTTCCAGAATCAACGGATGATCGATGTAATACCTGAGAACTCTAAGGGATATATCATATATATGACGATACTGTACTACTGCTAGCTCATTCAAAGCTATCTAGATAGCTAGCTACCAGCGGATCTTAATTTTGGAGAGCAATACATTGGCTTAAAGAAATAAATTGGTTAAAAAAATAAATAATTTTGGAGCGGATCTTTTCTCCATTTGTAGAAGGAATAGCGCTAATGCATCTTATGTACTTGCTTAAAGAAATAAATTGTAGTTATATATTCCTACAATTAAAGTTCGTCTTCGGCCAAAGTGATTAAGGGGATGTTTAATTGGAATCGTGGCCGTTTTTCAAAAAAATGGTGCCACGATGGATCTACATAAGCGTTTCAACCAACGCCCATGTATCTCATTGTTTGGTTTAGCTGATTATTAAAAAATTGGACATGTCTCAAAAATTGGGACACCACCGACGTCAAATTTGGTGTTTCATGCATCGGTGAACTGTTTCCTTCAACGGTTGACTGATGTATATCCTATTTGGTGCTTATCTGTCAGCACGTACATGAAAATCACCTTACCAAACAACATAGTATTGCTCACTGCCTACATGACAGAAGCATTTTTTTGTAAAAACAAGTTTTTGAAACATGGACATTTTTTCTTAAAAATTGGTCTCGATAAGTGCCCACGCTACCAAACACCATGAAAGCTTTTACTTTGGATGCAACAGACCGACGTCAGTTGTGAAACATCAAGTTGAATACATAACTTCAAGTTCACATCTGCGCCCCACAATACTCCACACCATATCCCTACCTTGTATTGGGAACATCTCCCAGTGATATCTCATCATCTCCCACTCCTCCTTTTATTGATGGTCGGTGGATTTTACACCTCTTCGGTTGCTTCTTTTCTTTTCTTTTTTAATGGAATCCCCTTCCACTTTTAGTATTAATAGGTAAGAGCAGATGGCGTGTACAAGCATTAAATGTATATGATATAAGTCATTTCGGTTTAAGTTTTTATAATTTACACAGGATTCAAGTCTAATTATCTGCTTATATGGTACCAGTGTAATTAAGGGCATAGACTTGGAGAGGTTTGCAATTAAAACGTAAAGATATAATTATATAATCAAATTTAATAATAATTATTTATATATTATAGACATTTAAATAATGAAAGATACATTTCATATGAAGTTTTTGACATAGTTGCTAGTGGACCCCCTTTGTTAGAATCTTCTAACAAGGAGCTCGTTCTCAACAAGGAGCTCGGACTAAGTATAGCGGTCTGGAGTTCGGGTTCGGTAGTGAGCTTGGACTTACTTCCGATATTCGTTTTGGGTGCTCTACTGTCCCGAGCTGCTTGTCTTTACCACGTGTCGGGTGATCGCGAGGTCGGGCCAAATTAATACTATAAACACATTAACACCACAAATTAATTAATTAATTAATAGTATACAAGAGCCAGCAGTCAAAGCTCAACAGAGCAATTAATAGTATATAATTAAAGGCAATCTCCTGACTGTAATTAAATTTGTTTTACCTCTTAACAGCAAAGAAGAGATATTACGATTATTTCCCCACAACGATACTGCTTCCAAGAAGGGGAGAGAATGCCCTAAACCCCAGGGGGAGTCCATCATCGCCAAGATTGTTCCCACCCACCCACAGCTCCTTGAGATTGTGCAGTTGACATAAAGCTGCAAGCTTGAAGATGTTTAATTAATTAAACATGCTTGCACAGATAAACATCAATCGACTGTTGGGGGCAACAGTTCACCATTGCATGAAACGTCAAATTTGATGTTTCATGCAATGGTTGTGCCCCGATTTACGATGCACAAACGTTTTTCAGCATTTTTTCAAAAAACGCTTAAACCAAACAATTGTATATGTGGGTGTTTGTAGAATCACCTACATGGATCCTATGTGGCACCGTTTTTCAGAAAAACGACCACGCTTCCAAACATCCCCTAAGTTTTGGGAGGTCACGTCTTGTGATTTCTCAGTCGATCTCATAAAACAAACAAATGAAAATAAATATTTAATGGAAATATTTCTATTTTCCCATCTCAGTCGGAGTCATGGTTTTTAAAACCGACCTGAAGATCAAACTAGTCAGGGGTCTGATTACTAGGTCAAACGGTCCAATCGTTTGAACTGAATGATTGACCCATTTTGACCAAAAAAATAAAAAATAGTCAAAACTGTTCGAATGATTAACCGCCTAAATCAGCGGTTTACTGACTAAAATCAACGGTTTTTTGAGAAATCCCTGTTTTAGGGAAAAATGGAACCCATCACCTGACCATTCCCGATTTTTCTAGTCCGACCGTCCAGTCGGGTCCAGTTTTGAAAACCATGGTCGGAGCAACCAAACAGGTGATCAGTGTTAATGAGGTCAGAAATGGAAAATCAGGTATGGTGGATATTTAGACGTCGCCATGAATGCGGGAGCCATTCCAAATTAGCCACGTCGCCCCCTGTTTGAATTAATTCAATCCTAGTCTAGGAATTTTCTAGGACGATACAAACGTGTGTTACTGTGTGTGTATTAAATGTTGTCTGGTTTTTTGCAATCATGTCACGGTTGTTCTTATAAAGGGTGGTTGGAGCTGGGAGTCTGCGAAGCCTGTAGCCTTCAACATGTCCAAAAGAGTGAAAGCACCGGTAACTGAAAGCGGAGACCGGATCTACTCCTCACACTTGGCGCCTCACACGCTCATTTTATCATTGAGAACATCTTCCGTTCTTATTAGTTATTATTCATAAGAGATGTTTCCAATGCACGGTGGATGTGCATGTGAGGTATTCATTTGTGAGGAGCAGACTTTGTCATCCAATTAAAAGGGATCCTTCAAGAAATTATATATATTTATATTTATACATCATGCGTGACGGGATCTGTTCCTCACAAATGGGCACTTTATATGTACATCTACCATGCATTGGAAACATCTTCCATGAATAATAATTAATAAAAATGGGAAATATTCCTAATGAGTGATAGGATGTGCATGTAAAACACCTGTGAGGCGCCAGTGTGAGGAGCAGATCCTGGACTTTTCTCATTTGTCTTGTGAATAGGAATCCTCCCTCGTGCGATTAAACCACTGGACCATCGATCTTTAACTTGCAAACGCCACTGTCCTCTGCCGCTCTGCGTTTTTTTTTTTTGTTTTTGTCTACCTGCAGTTAATACTTAATACGGTGCTCTACTATTCATCTCCAACGCTTTCTATATTTGAGCTGGACCGCACTTGTCCACAATGACACTGTATTTCGTCCTATTCAATTCAGTCACATGCACCAATGTGACTGAATTGAATAGGAAAGATAATTAGATCATATAAAAGCAAGGTTTAAAGTATCAGAAATGTAAGGTGTGTCAGAAAGATAATTTTAAGAAATGCATTGGATACACTTTGGACATGTATATATACGGACGAAAAATCAAGATACACATAAATATGCTAAAAAATGCAAATAAATCCTAAAACATATATTAATAACGATAAATAAGTTATTTAAAAGTAAAAAAACTGTAATTTAATGGTCTATATAAAATTCGAGATATGAAGACACACTTAGTAACTATTGACAAATGCTGGAATAACTAAAACGTAAAAAAACAAAAAAAAAACTGAAATGTATATTGATATACATTAATTTTAAAATAATCAATATAATTTATCTTAATATTTATTAATACATAAATTTTAATAATTAATTCTAACATTTATTGATAAGCATATATTAAGAAAAAGAGAAACTTTACTTAAAAATAAAAAATGCATAAACTTATAGCAAGCAAATGGGCGTGGCTTAGTGGTGATTACTTCTAATTCTTAAAGTTTAATGGCTAGGGTTTGAATCTTGTTATTGTTAATTTGAAGTTTTATACTAACAAAACGAATTTAATGAGAAAGAGGGTTGTTAATTAACGAAATTAATGAGAAGAGAATTTCAATTAGGCGCTAAAATTGAAATTCAAATTTAAAATTATGCATAATTAATGAGAAAGAAATTCATTTAAATGTAGGAATAAATATAAAATTAATGAGAAATAATTTTTCATAGAGACAAGACAAGAAGCTTGTATCATATGGAACTTAGATTTCTGGCCTATTCACTTTTCTACCCACACTACTCTACCCGCCCTAAATTACAGCCACACCACACGCATCTCACAATTCAAGATGGTGATGTGTGGCTGCAAATCATGGTGAGGTGCGGATAGAGAGTAGTTGGCAGGAAACGTTTCTTGTGGATAGGATATTAGCGGGAAAGTGAAAAGTGAGAACTTATGGGTTGTCATTATATTTTGCATTCTTTTAATTGATTTCTGTTTTTATTTTGTGTGTTTTTAATTTTTAAATTTTTTTATTATTTAATTCTGACATCATTGGTTGATAGTTTAACATAAAAAGTTGAATTATTTATTCACCATCAAATTAATAGGAGAATACTTTCATTTTAGTCCAATTTTAAATTTTATATTTCATTTCTAACATCAATAAAACAATTATTATTTATCATATATATTTTTATTTAATGTGGTCAATATAAAATATTAAAAATGTGCCCAATACTTTTTTTTTTTAATTTTTTGCTCTATTTCCATTTTAAAAGTTCTTGGACCGTTGGAAATTATGGCAGGTGTTAGATCCTGTCAAATGGGTAATGTAATGAAAACCCCATTCAATCAATGCGGCATGGCAGGAAAAGGTGACAAAGAAAGGAAGAGTTTGGCGTTATCCTTCCCACAGGCCACAGCCACCTCACAGCACACTGCAGCCCTACATCTGTCAAATGTTTTTATTCATAGGGAGATGTTCCCACTACATGGATGCAAGTGCTGTGAGGTTGGTGCAGTGGCCGAGTCAGGAATTTTGTTTTGTGTGAGGCAAATTAAAGTTTTAAAGAAGAAAATGAGATAGGGAGCTGAAGAAATATAGGGTTTGAGGGAAAATGGCCTGAGAAGGTTTGGGTCTAATACAAATTTTTTATTTTGAGAGTTGGAGTGTTAAAATTAA